GGAGGGGGAGGAGATGCATTTGGAAGTACGCAGGGTGTCTGTTTTGTTTATTTATTTATTTATTTATTTATTTTGTGTCCACTGTACATTGTGGCGTGTTGACTCCCCAAGCAATGTAGGACCTACTTTGCAAGCAAGTGCCGACATTATGACTTTTCCGAACAAGTAGCGATGGTCATGCCTAGATAGGAGGAACCTAACCGTAATAGCAGCCAGGTTCGTGCTTCCATAGCATGAAGATGGAACCTGAGGTGCCCGGTCTTGAGAGAACCGACACTGAATCTGTTGGGTAATTTGGGGTTTTGTATGCAAATGGGGAGTTTGTTGAATGAATCTGGGCACAGCCGCAGTCAGATGCATCCAAGGAAGTCCTAGTTTGACGTATACCCAGACCTGCAGGCTAGCTTGTTGTTGGGTAAACTAGATTTGGAGTAACTTTTGCATATTAATAGACCCTGACTCCACCTCTCACCTAATGTGCAAAATGAGAATGAATCTTCCGCTAGAACATGGAAAGGTGCAGCGCCATATTTTTTGGTCTTCTGTGCATGCAGCGAGCGGTGGAGAGACGCGCTTATTCTCAGAATTTGGTGGATAGTGGTTATCAAAAAAGAGAAAAAGAAAAAAAAAGAGATCATATCGCCAATTGACAATTGACGATCATGATGCCAGCAGGACTGGCAGTCCCCCTACCACCTGAGCCTCGCCCCATCAAGCAGTGGATCCAGTATTCTACATGAGGGAACAGACCCGTTTACCTTGTTCCTCTCTCTCTCTCTCTCTCTCTCTCTCTCTCTCTCTCTCTCTCTCTCTCTCCCCAAAAGCAACTAGTACTATGGAAGATCTACCAGAGCCATTTCTAGGGGTGAGAAGTGGGCCCCAGACTCTCTCTCTCTCTCTCTCTCTCCAAAAACAACTAGTACTATGGAAGATCTACCAGAGCCATTTCGAGGGGTGTGAAGTGGGCCCCAGAAACGATGGGGCTGGGTGGAATGCCCAAGTCCTCTCTCTCTCTCTCTCTCTCTCTCTCTCTCTCTCTCTCTCTCTCTCTCTCTCTCTCTCTCTCTCCCCAAAAACAACTAGTACTATGGAAGATCTACCAGTTGGAGGGGTGTGAGTGGGCCCCAGAAACGATGGGGCTGGCTTGAAGGCCCAAGTGGGGACTTCGGACTGCCCGGTTCACGTCAACAAGTGGGTAGAATAAAAGACCGGCAAAACAAGAATGGGTCTTTTGGGGACATAATGAAAATTATTACAACAAAAAAGACAGCAAACATGAGTATGGCCCCTGTGCAAGGATGATGCCATCGTGCCACAAATCGAGAATCGGTGCAAGTTTAGTTTCAAAATATATAAATCCATTCCATTGTTTATTGAGAATGTATATATAATTACAATGGAATGGATTTTTTGAATCTATTCTAATTACAATGTAGAATAGATTCAAAAAATCCATTCCATTGTTTATTGAGAATGAAAAGGAAAATGCCCAGAAGAAGAAGTAGCTAGCAAAGTATCCGAAATATTTACTACTTTTTTTCTTTTTTTCTTTTTTAAGAGTGACCAGATCCTTATTCCCCCCCACCCCTTGTCAAGGAAGATTGACGCATTGGTTGCCGGAGATCTTCTTCCGTCATTCTCAGTGTAGGAACTACGACCGATGAGAAAGCATCACTTGCCGCGTCAGTGTCGCTGTCCGCCGACTGGAGAACCGCCACTCCCTTCGGCGAAAAAGTGATCCTTGTGATGCCCGCGTCCGGTTCCTTAGCCATACAATAGAGAGACTTGCCCTTTGCAAAGTTTCCCAACAGCTTGTAGGACTGCTCAGATCCGTCCATCGTGACGCAGACGTCGTCGGAACACGCTGCGTACTCCAGCTGAGTATTGTAGACAAACTCGAGCACCGCAGACATTCCGGACTCGAACTCGAAGATTGGCCCTTTGTCAACCCGCAACATCCGAAGCCTTGTAACGCCCTCGCCCATCTGCATCATCGCCCCTCGATGGTTGTCGCTGACAAGGTGGTAGAGCCCGACGGCGCATTGGAGGACGCCTTGGAGGAGGGCTCGTTGCGTCTCTTCCTCGTTGTGCCATAACGACTCCAGCACGTCGTGGCATTTGTAGTACTCGCCCAGGTTAAACAAGCTTACGGCGTATTCAAAGGCACTCTCCACAACAGGGAGATGACCCTCTTCTGATCCCGATTCCCGAGTGCTCATCGCAACGCCGGCCTCATCTTGCTCTTCTTCGACATCCCAATCTCGCCAGGAAAAGGACGATCTAGGCAAAGTGCTACCCTTGTTCTTCTGAGGGCAAAGGAATGTCAATCCGGTAGCTATCATCGCTACCTTCGTTCCGTCGGAAGCAGCATTCCTCGCGCACGATAAGAGTATGCAGCACGACCTCCTGGAGGAGGAGATTTTTGCGCATCTACCCTCGCCCGAACGCGACAAGTCGTTACAAAGGTTTTGAACGTCGCTGCGGAGTTCTGGGCGTCTTGTGCATCGCTGCGGATGTCCGGGAGGACGCACACGCAGATGCACACCTGATAGGTTTGCACAACAAGGAACTGTCGCCATGGGCAATGCGTGTTTGCCGAAAGGAATGCACACAGGGACAACTTGAAGTCGAAAATATATGTGCTGTGCCGTCACTCTTGAGGGGGCAGAGGGGGAAAAAATCCGTCAGTTAGGAACGCGGCGCCGGAGTAGTCAACTTGTCTCTGACTGTTCCACACCCATAACCACACACAGATGACGCTGCCAAACGGCGTTCGCTTGAACCAGAGGGACAACAACTGGAATAGTCCACAACAATGGCTTGAACCGCGCCAACTAGGTGGTGGGACATGCCATCACGCAATTACTTGGAAGGCGCCAAATTTAGACTGCAAGTTTTGGGAGTCAATTGAGACAGATAGCACATCAATTGCTGGGCACCAAATTTGCCACTCACACATAGATTCTTGAATGGGAAACCACCTCTTCTCTTTTTCGAAAGAACCACAAAGAAGCGCTTTTAGTGGAGCCGGGCCGCATGGTCCGTGAAAGAAAATTTGGATCCCACATCGCCGAAGAGGCAGGGACTTTCACGAACCGTACGGGCCTTTCATGCCACGGATGAATGGCAGACATGCAAAAAAAAAAAAGGGCCGCCATCTTATCAGGGGCAGGGTACCGGGTTGGTGTCTCTCCATTTTCGAAAGAGCTACCGCGCCTTGGACTGCGCTCGCGGTGCCACTTACGAAGGCATTTCCACATCCGCGGCAAAGGAGGGACACCTCCCACTTCCGCGGAAACAACTGGGCTCCCAAATCGAATTTTCGCTGTAAGTGACCGGCATAAAAGAAGTGGGGTCTGCCTCTTGGTCTGCACTTTTCGTTCTTTTTTCAGGACACAAACATTAGCTGATAAGAAACCCGAGAAAAGCGGGCCCGTGGGAGCCCTTTAGCTCGTCGAGTTATGAGCGTCTTTAAAAAGAAGGGCCGAAGGCTAAGCCTTACTTCGAGAAATCGTGCCACTAGCAATTCCTTCTTTTTTTCCTTTTTTTTCAAAAACAAATCTGTTTTCTAGGACTTTTCAAGATGAATCTTTTTTTTTTTCTTCTTTTTTTTTTTTTTTTTTTTTTTTTTTTTTTTTTTTTTTTTTTTCACTCTCTGGCTCACTCCCTCACGAGACCTCTCCCTTTCACCTCTCGATGTTCCCCAGAGCAGCCCCACCTCCCTCCATCCTGCCTCACTGAAGGACCATTGCTCTCTAATGGAGAAACCGGACGGGACAGCAGTCGTGGGCGGGCACTGAAAAGAAACCCCCCTTCTGGCCCTGTTTGAGGCACCGTTGCACGAGCCTTGTCGTGCGTGCGGGTACGTTGGAAGTTGGGTGTATATCTATTTACTACCAGCCTCGCGAGTAGAGCCAAGAGTGCCCATCTCGACAGGGGTCTGTGCCTAGAGTTCCCTGGTTCGAGTTACGCCAGGCAGTGTCTTATGGCCATCTGGCCAAGGTCTAACCTATGAGCACCCTCTACTCTTAAGCACCTCACCCTCACCTCCCCCTACCCATCACAGTTGTGTTCTGCATGATTCTATATTCATCTGTGTAGGTCTGTGTGATTCTGTATGCGTAGCGGTTGATGGAAGGCCCAAAATTCGGGTTTTTTCGCCTCATCACTACAAGCAATGCTATTGAAAATTTTGCGAACAAACTGTCCAGGCGCATTATACAAACATCAGAAAACCAAACAGGCAAAAAAAAAACAAAAACAAAAAACTCAAGACCACTATAAAACCCTATTCGGAGTAGCTTTCGGAGTTGGCCAGATTTTCTCCGAATTCAGTGTTTTTGCCTACTTTTTCGTTACTGGTCCAAATACGTTGAAACTGAATACAGTTATACCCTAAAGCACATACATATCAGACCAGGGACAACCAAAAAAAAAAAGAACAATAGAAAACTTAAAAAGTAAAAATTCAGGGAAAATATGGCAGTTTCAGTGAAAAATTCCCCAAAATTCTCCGATAATGAGACCACCTATTAATCATGAGTGTTCTGTATGTGTATAGCCTGCTGCTTTCTGTATCAATCCGTCATGCAGGTCTAGATGATTCTCCCACTTGCAAGGAGGATTGGATTGGACGCCTGAATCTGGACGTCTATTTGGAGACATGGAGAAAACCGGGATTGATCTGCTTTTCTGCATCTCTAGATGAAACACGTCCAGATTCACGCTGTTAATCCCATCCTCTTTGCTCGTGGGACCTCCCACTAAATCCTGTAGAGCAATTCCTAAGGAAGGAGATAGAAAGCTGCCAGCTGCTTTTCAGTGTGTTTGCCAGGGTCCCTCTGCAGCTGCAGGGAATTGAACCGGTGATCTCGGCCGCAACAGCCAGATGCCTTTACAACTACTGTGGTGACACGGTGCTCGAAATTGAACCTATACCGATCGTGACATTTATCCCACCCCTGCACAGTTGCAGCCAGCATACACTCAGCAAGTGACACCCACGAGACCTTCCGGGAGGCACGGCAACACTCCGCATGACCTATCTTCGCAGCCACCACACTCCAGGTAAACATCTGCTGGCAGCCACCACCAGCCAGGTGAGCATGTAGATGCTTGCCAATCAAGCTTTGTTTTTTTTTTCTTCTTGGCAGTTAAACCACCACTACCTTTCATGCTCTCAGGAAAAGCGGGAATATAACCGAACCGCATCGTTTAGGGGCTGGGCGCAACGCCGTCCGCCGTTGATAAATTTCATCGATGGCCTATGTCGAGTTTCCGCGACCTTTGCTCGCGGCCGATGAAAGCGAAAGGTAGTGGTGGCTTAAACCACCAGTAGTTCCTAGGGGGCTGGGCGCAATGCCGTCAGCCGTTGATGAATTTCATCGGTGGCCTATGTCAAGTTTCCGGCCTCCGAAACTCGCAGACCCTCGCTCGCAGCCGATGTACGCAAAAGGTAGTACTTCCTAGGGGGCTGGGCGCAGTGCCATCCGCCGTTGATAAATTTTGTCCGTGGCCTATGTCGACTTTCCGGCCTCCAAAACTCGCAGACTCTCGCGCGCGGCCGATGTGCACGAAAGGTAGTGTTGGTGTAAACCACTAGTACTTCCTAGGGGGCTGGGCGCAATGTCGTCCGCC